GAAAAAGTGCACGCCATTGTGGCGCGAAGCACATTTCCAAGTAAAAATGGACAAAACACCAGAGGAGCGGACCACTTTTGGAAGTTGAGATGTCGAAAAAGTGCACGCCATTGTGGCGCGAAGCACATTTGCAAGTCAAAATGTACAAAAAAACACAGCGTCGGACCACTTTTGGAAGTTCAGATGTCGAAAAAGTGCACGCCATTGTGGCGCGAAGCACATTTCCAAGTCAAAATGTACAAAACACACCAACCTCGGACCACTTTTGGAAGTTGCGATGTCGAAAAAGTGCACGCCGTTGTGGCGCGAAGCACATTTCCAAGTGAAAAGTGTTAAAAACTGACGGTCTCGGACCACTTTTTGACGCTCAGATGTCGAAAAAGTGCACGCTGTTTTGGCGCGAAGCACATTTCCAAGTCAAAATGTACAAAACACATCATGTTCGGACCACTTTTGGAGGCTCAGATGTCGAGTTTCGAAAAAGTGGATGCCGTTGTGGCGCGAAGCACATTTCGAAGTCAAAATGTACAAAACACACCATGTTCGGACCACTTTTGGAGGCTGAGATGTCGAGTTGCGAAAAAGTGCACGCCGTTGTGGCGCGAAGCACAGTTCCAAGTCCAAATGTTAAAAACACTAGGGTTTCTGATCACTTTTGGAGGTTCAGATGTCGCTTCCCTTCGCTTCACTTCAATTCACTACACTACACTACATGACACGACACTACACTACACTTCGAGCGGTTGCGATGTTCTTCCGTGCGGCCGGCACCTGCTCAGCAGATAGATAGATGGATAGAGAGATAGATAGATAGATAGATAGATAGATAGATAGCTAGGTAGATAGATAGATAGATAAATAGATGGATAGAAAGATAGATGGATAGATGGATAGATGGATAGATGGATGGATGGATGCGTAGGTAGTTAGGTAGGTCGGTAGGTAGGTAGGTAGGTAGGTAGATAGTCACTGAAAGAGTGAGAGGGATCAATCATCGTTCAGTCCAGCAGTGTCTTCGCTCTGCCATCCCTGACTCACAACCACGAACCTCTCCTATAGGTTTCCTATTTTTGAAACTTCCGCCACCGCCTTGCGCGGTACTACTGGTATTCAAGAAATGTCTCCCTCATATTGGCAACTTCATCCAATTCAAGAAGTCGATCTCGTGCACCATGTGGGAAAAACAAAGTTCTTCCAGGTCGTTTGTGATACCTCACCAAAGTGTTCCCTTCAAGTTCCCACTTATCATTGTGATAAGTAGGTGAACTTTGAATGAACCAGGAAGTTGTGCAACAACAATATCACCCTTGCCACCCTGAGAAGTCAACGAACAATTTTCCCTTCCAAGTTCAACCTGGTACCCCTGCAACAAGTCGTGACACAGAAAGAACACTGTAAGGAACATCACACACATAGAAGTGTAACCAAAGTGAAATACCATCAAGTTCAATTCAACAAGTTCTTGACCATACGCATTCAAGGGTTGACCAGAAATCAGTTTGAGTGGTGGCGGTTTCCCCGAAAGTGGAAGAAGTGGCCAGTCAGGTGCAAGTCCCTAGAACACCAACTGGCTGCAGCCCCTGAATTCAAAAAGATCCAAGTATCGACTCGACATCCACCATCGAGGATACCAAATGTTCATTCATGTAAGGATCATGAAAAGTCACTCAGAGTCTTGAAAGTGACAACAAACTCATGAAATGGCCAAAATCCGAAACATGCAAAATCGAAATGGGACGTGTCCGTCAGGGGATTGGAAAAAAGCTCCTAAACCAAAGTGCTAAACACTACAGCCCCACAAGTGCCGAAGCTACAGAAGCAGCTGAAGTTTTGGGAGGTGCATGTCCCTGCGAGGGAGAAGTCACAACTGCCCTAACCTGGGCACCAGAAGTGCAATCCTGAGTCGAAGTGAGCCTTCATCCCCTTTGGGAAGTTCAGTGATCTCCACCTGAAAAGTATTCCAAGAATTATTCCAAGAGTCATTCCAAATCTGGTCTGACTCCCAAGTGGAGTCGAAGACGGAACTCCACCAAAGTGGATCAACAAAGTCGTCAAGTGAGCCGACATACTGCTCACCAAAGCCACCTTCATCCCAGGTGTTCTCACTCCAAGTTTCTTCACTGTCACTAAGACCTAAATCTAACTTCCAGAGCTCCTCCACAACTGCGTTCACTCTTCTCTGTGGACATCTGTCAGACAAGTGCCCTGGATTTCCACAAGTCCATCAAACTGAAAGTCTGTTTACCTTTTACACCTTGGTTTGACACAACTTGTACCTGAACCTAAGTTCCTTATTTTGCCTTGAACCGAAGTTCCTTTGCCTTTTCCTTTTCCAAAACCCTTACCTTTCGCCTTGGTCAAGGTGTGAAAGTTCCAGTGAGGATTCTTACCTTTGCCTTTCCTACGTCCTTTCTGCATGGCAAGTTTTGCGTGTGAACTGTTTTAAAGTTTGCCGTTCATGCCTTTACCTTTGCCTTCATAACCAATGTCCATTGCTGCTGGTCCTTGTGATGATGACAAAGCATGAAGTATGAAGTATGTGTTGCGAACGAAAATACTCGACGATCACTGCACGCATCTGTGGGTATGTGGTCAACGTATGTGCATTCAAGCGCAAGTGCTGCTGCGAAGCTCCCATGGTCTTGCTCAGCGAAGTGGCAACAAGTACGCTATCAGGGAGGTTCGTTCCGGACTGAGTTTCATACTTTGGCTTCACTGTCCCCCACATGATAAAAGTCTTGTTCAAAATCGGTCTGACTTAACGTCCAACAACTGGGTGATAAGCGACACAAGGCGTGTTGCATCAGGAACTGCAATTTGTTCATTCATCCTACACCAAGTCTCAAACCCATTGGCTCCTTCATTTTGCCTTGCAGTCAATCTGGCTGAACTAGTGGTCAAGTTTGCCCACAAATAGCGCAACTTTCGAGAAAAGTTGACGGCTTGCAATGTCGCTTGGGGATCAAAATCACCCGTGTCCAATGCGATTGTGAGATCTGCATCTAGAAGCGGTCGATCACGTCCTTCCACATCATCTATCAAAGTCTTCACTGTGTTGTCAAACATGCTGATGTAAGGCTTAAAGTCTTAAAGTTCCAGCTCCATTCTTCCCACATGCTTGGGTTTCCATCATACCTGTCAGGAAGTGGCAACTTTATAAGTCTACCAGAAAAGTCAAAGCTCTCTTCTGTTCTCATCTCAAGGACTTGAGGTCAAAGTGCGAATGCTCCCTAGATCGAGAGCTCCCGCTACCATGCGAAATTCCCACAGTACCAGAGTACCAGTAGTACCGCACGAGCCGGTGGCGGAAGTTTCAAAAATAGGAAACCTATAGGAGAGGTTGGTTGTTGTGAATCAGGGATGGCAGAGCGAAGCCACTGATGGACTGAAAGGCGATTGATCTCTCTCACTCTTGTCTACCTGTCTATCTATCTATTTATCTATCCATCTGTCTGTCTATCTGTCTAACTGTCTATCTTTGGTGCAATGTCATTCAGTGTAATGTAGTGTAGTGTAATGTAGTGTAATGTAGTGTAGTGTAGCGGAGTGTAGTGGAATGTAGCGTAGTGTAGTGTAATTTAGTGTAGTGGAGTGTAGTGGAGTGTAGTTGTGTAGTTGTAGTTGTAGTGTTGTGGAGTGTAATGTAGTGTAGTGTAATGTAGTGTAGTGTAGTGTAATGTACTGTAGTTAAGCGAAGCGAAGGGAAGCGCATCTGAACTTCAAAAAGTGGTCCGAGACCGTTAGTGTTTAACACTTTTGACTTGGAAATGTGCTTCGCGCCACAACGGCGTGCACTTTTTCGACATCTCAACTTCAAAAAGTGGTCCGAGAATGGTGTGTTTTGTACATTTTGACTTGGAAATGTGCTTCGCGCCACAGCGGTGTGCACTTTTTCGACATCGGAACTTCCAAAAGTGGTCCGACCCTGGTGTGCTTTGTACATTTTGACTTGGAAATGTGCTTCGCGCCACAACGGCGTGCACTTTTTCGACGTCGCAACTTCCACAAGTGGTCCGAAGCTGGTGTGTTTTGTACATTTTCACTTGAAAATGTGCTTCGCACCACAACGGCGTGCAATTTTTCATCTCTCATCTGGCCAGCTGGCTCCGCACCCGCCGCTTTAGCGAGCCTACTTTTCCACCCTCCGGAGCCACAAATCATTGGAAAAACACAGTGAATCGCGACTTTCCTAACTTTTCGCGCATCTGCATCTTCTTTCTTCTGATCTTTACTCTTCTGACTCTTCTCACCTCTGCTTTTCAACTGTCCATATTGTCGGAAGTTTCACTTCTAAACTTCCTTCGACTAACAACCTAACCCCAAGTCAACCTAAGTAAGACTCAAAGTTCCACTTTTACACCAGGCGTCTCAAGTCAGATCTTGAGCCTTGAGCCAGATATTTGGCAGACGTCTCGTCAATGTAGAGCGGAGGACGAGTGCCTATAAAGTTTCGCAAAACAAACCAACCAGCCAACCAGCCAACCAACCAACGACCAAACAAGCAAACAAACAAACAAACAAACAAACGAACGACCGAACAAACAAACAAACTGCGAAGCTTCAAGTTCACTTTCAAGTCCACCAAACAGTGCAGTATCAGTCAGCTTCTAGTTTTCACTCACGCCAGTCTATCAGTCACAGTACGACGTCTCACAGCGTCAGTTGAGTTCCTAGTGCCTTGAGTCAGGCTTGAGCCAAACCATAGTTTGGCAGTGCAGTAGATTCAGTGTACTGTGCAGTGGAGTGCAGAGTGACAGTCATATCTAACACTCCCCTTTGGATCAGAAGTCCAGTTGAGTGACTGAGGATCCACACTTATTACAGTACGTGCAAGTTAAACAGTCCAAGTCTTGAGAAGTACGGACTTCAATACACTTGTGAAAGTCTAAAGTGCCATTTCCAAGTCTCATGCAGAGACAGTTAACCTAGTCTTCAGCATTCTCAGTTGAGTGCTTACTCCTATTGCTAACAATCTGAATTCAGTGCCTCTCAATATCATCTCAGTCGGCCTTCTTCACAGTGATCACAGTGTCAGTTGATGACAGTCCAAGTCCGCTGATATGGATGTCAACCTTGAGATCAGTACCAGTCTCAGTGATTGGCAAGGCCGCAGTTCCAGAGCCATAGTTGTAGTCCCAAGTGAACTTCTTCAGTTCAGCTGGAGTGCTGGCAAGTCCAGGCTTTTCCATTTGGAACTGAGTCAGTGGCAAGTGCCCAAAGAGAAAACGACGATGAGCATTGCAATAGCGAGCGCCATTCAGTTCCTTGGAGAGTGAGTCAGCAAAGTCCGCCAGGGTATAGGCAGTCTGGAAGGCCTGACTTGACTCAGTCTCTAAGTCAGTCAATTCGAAGTTCACAGCACCAGTTGCATTCACATAGGAGTGGCTGAAGTATCCTCGGTTGAATTGCTTCAGTCCAGCAACCTTAGTGCGTTCGAGCCAAACAGCAGCGACTCTCAGTGGCTCAGTGGAATACTTCTGGAAGTTCTCCTGACCTTTCCACAGCTGCAGTGCTGAGTACAGCAAAGCGCTTCGAAGATCAGTCCACAAGTTGCACAGTGAACGATCAAACCACTCAGTTGGGATTTCCCCAGTTGCCAGTGCCAAATCTGACAGTGTGAGTGGAAGTGACAGGAAGACAGGGTAGTCCACCTGCCTGTCAGTCAGGTGAGTGTACTCAGTAGTCACCCGTTGCAGTGGCTGCGAGTACAGTCGCAGTTCTGCCTCTGAGTAGGCATAGTGGGCAGTACTCAAACCCGGGAACACCGAGTTGGGTGAGAGTACGCCAGTCCACACATCATCAGTGGATTCATAGCCAGTCTTCTGTGCGACCAACAGTCCAAGTCCAAAGGAGTTGCACTTGGTAGTCGCAGTGGGCCGAGTAGTACGACACAAGTACAGTGGGTCCACTGTAGTGCGGGACAGCTCAGTGTGGTTGAGCAGTTGGTGAGTGCACTTCTTTTCCAGTGCTGAGTTACGATCCAGCATCTGGCGAGTCACACTTTCCAACAGTCCCAGCTGAGTAACACTAAGTTCCAGTTCCCGACTCTTCAGCAGCTTCAGCATCTCAATCACAGTATTGTAGGCTTCAGTGTCAGGAGTAGCATCAGTCAGTGCTACCTCAGTATTCTGAGTCTCTCCAGTCTGTGCGACGGCCACAGCCGCAGTCTCAGCTGCCATCCTCAGTGTCAGAGAGGAGGTAGTGCAGGGCTGCAGTGACGTAGTACCTGGTAGTACTCCTTTTCAGTCTCTACCAGTCATTGCATTCAAACAGCGAGTGGGTTTGAACCACAAAGTTTCGATGCCAGAAACAAATCCCGCAACTCCGCAATTATTTTGGCACAAATGCGGGAGAATTCGATCTCTCTTCCACTACCACTCCTTGTGGGCAAACAAACTTCTAACAGGAGAATATGGATGTGTCTTTGAATCATGGCAGAAGCACGGCTCCACCAGTATGCAGAATATGTGGCGCCGAAATGGCAGGTCTTGTACCGGTATGCTTTGCCTTGCCAGGTGAAGGCCGCAAGTCCTCTTTCACTGGGCTTCACTTTGATGCATTTGTGGGCAGCTCGAATGTCCACCAGGAAACCCAGATATTGTTGCCGTTCCGGCTGCGCGCTAAAGGTCTCACGGACATCAGCCACAGTTGGGTAGAAAACCTTCTCTTGGATGCTAGTGCGGGGGTTTACCCCGCTGATGGTGATGTCTAAAACCAGACGGGGCTTGCGATTGTCGCTAAAAGCGACGCCTAGCTTTCCAAACACAAGTTTTTGTCGCATTTCCGGGTCCAGGTCAGTGGTGAAGCCCAAGCATTCCACGAATTGGTCGTCCAGCTCCTGTTGAATAAGTTGCGCCACTATGTCGGGGTGATCTGTAGCGGACCCCCAATTGTCAAAATGAGACACCAGCTGTGAAGCCAAATCCACTGATGGTACATGTTGGATCCAAACCTGGCTTGGTGGAATGCTAGCCTGGACGCCAGTAGACACCCCATCCCGCAGCAAGGAAGGGAGCACTGCATCAACGTCCCTAGTGATCTGATTAAATGCAGAGAAGAACTCCAATCGAAAGGGTTGATCCTGGGCAACCTCCGTGCTTGGGTCAATGTTGAAATCGTGAGCAAAACGTTGAAAAATCGAAGAAAGGTCAGCTACTTCTTCTGCCGAAAGCAAGGTTTCAAAATTGGTTGGCCTGGAAATTGAAATTCTTGGTAAAATCTTGTTGCGGAGACCATATAAAAGCCATGCCCGCCGCAGGTCAGCCAAGTAGTCTGGAGCATGTGGAACTGTCCAATCGCCTGTGCTATCGACACCCCCACCATCAGCCACCATAAAATTTTCGTCGCTTGCTTTGGACGGGAGGCGCAGCGGAAGTTCTTGCATGGCCACGCCCCATGGCGTAAGCACTGGTCCCTCTTCATGTTGAGCAAACAAAGGCCGCAAGGCCAAGGCGATTTCCAAACATAGATGTTCAGGAAAACTAACGGATCCTGAACGGGGGTGCCGCTGAACTTGTATCGGTGGGTGCATCTCATGATGAAGGCATTGGGATTGCGTTTCAAGGAGCAAAGAACAGGTCGTGGCAACTTGCCATGATTGAACAGTAGCTTGGCCCAGCGGCACGTATTGACACTGTGCAACTGAAATCATGTGGTGCGGGATTCGGTGGAGCCATTCGTGGAGCAACGGCTGTTGCCACGATATTGCATTGGACGGCTGTGCAAATACCACATGCGCTCCGTTAAGAAATGCCAATTCCATCAGGGATAAAGTTCCTTGCAAAATGCTGAAACTCTCTTGATCTGGAAGGCATGGAGGTGCAACCCACATGAAAGCGAGCAAACCTGATGTTACCAGCTTTGTCAAAGCATGAAAAGTATCGCTGTCCAGGAGGTCACGAGTTCTGTCTCCTAAAGAGGTGTCCAACGGTTGTAGACACTGACATCGGAGGGATGCCACCGCTGTTGTGACTGGGTGCGGGGCACCAGAAAAAATCTCAAGGAAAAATTTGTGGCCTGGCAGTGGGGCTGGAAGCTCACGCAAATTGCTTTGATAGGATTCGCGGTCATTGCTGGACCCACGGCACTGGTGTTCGTGAAACGAAGCGCCTGACGAAGCAGACTCACTATCAGACACTGGGTCTGCAGCTGGCTCGTCAGGTACACGCCCGGGTCAAGCGTGCATGACTGGATGCTCTGAAGCTTTGTGGGGCAAATTGCAAGGACTGCCTGATGGCAGCAAGATCGGGCATCTGTGTAAGAATTTGCATTTTGGGAAATTGCACCCGGTAGTATGGAACCGTTTGCAAACTTCTTGCGAAGCACCGTCAGGGGTAATCAAAGTCTTAGCCCAGTGGTCAGGCCAAGCAGGTGCTTTCGCAGAGTCAGCTTTTCCGCCTTTGCCCTTCGTTTTGCCCTTACCAGCTGGTTTGTCATAGGGGTTCGGCCGCCAGGCCAGCTTCCCCTTGGATTTGCCACCCTTGGAAATTGAGAGGGCACGTGGCCGAGGCATGAACAAGGTTGGGATGTCGGAGCGGACTCGGCTCACTTCAAGGAGCGCTTGGTTGAGCTCCCATTGCTCAGCATTGACTAAATGAAAAATCGTTTCCCAAAGTTTCCGGTCACATTGCAAAAACTCCTGCAGGCTGGGTGGTCGCAGGCCACTCGATTCAGAGTATGTCTTTGTATAATGGTCCATGACCTTGGAATCAATTTCTTTCCATGCGCCTAGGTGCGCAATACCTACAAGCACGTAAGCATTGCGGCGCACTTCCAAAACCCGAGACAAAAAGAAGGGGTTGCCTTGGATATCATCGAGTTCAGGGACATCTTCCACTAACGCTGAAGCAAGCAAAGCTGAGCCAGGCTTGAAGGTCTTGGAGACCTTGGCCTCCTGAGCTCGGTTCCAATTTTCTTCAGAAACCAAAGACTTCCACGGAAGCCATTCCAAGCAATTCCCCGGCTTCGTTTGGTGCATGACTTGTGACAATAAGCGCAAGCATGGTGTGTTAGAAGCCGTCAATAGCTCACCCGGATAATGCTCTCGGAATTTGGATTTCAACTGAAGGACATGTTCTGCACTGAGCTTTGGAGGTGGCAAATCTGTCCAGGCTAAACGACTTTCCAAGCTATAGGGGTTTCCGAGGCCGATGGTGCTGGAGCCAAAGAAGGATTGTGAATTTGATGGAAACTATGATGCCAAAGAGCACGAATTGCCCCTGCTTGAGGTGAAATCAAGCAGGCTTCTTCGTCTTCTGGCTCCCCATCGTCGGCTAGCCATTCCAAAATCTTGGTATCTAGGGCTGCCGGTGTTGAGAAGCTAAAAGCGAAAAGAGATGGTGTGGTGTATCCATGACCCGTTATTCTGTCTACCACTGCTTCTGGGACTCCACATTGGATGGCCAACTCTTTTAGATCATCCATTGGGAGCTAGGATCGGCAAGTGCAAACCCTTCTGTCACAAAAGGAATCTGAGCCGCGCAAGGCACTGACAGCGCTAAGATGTTTAAGCTCAGTTTGAGGCAGGGATCAGCTTGCAGTTGAATCAATTTACTTGTGTCGCTGCTGCAAGTCTATATCAAAATGCAACGCCTTTTTTTTTCTTCTTCCGCATAGTTAACGTGGACGTTCCGAAGCACATTAAGCTATTCACAGCGGCAGGCTTTATTCGCACAGAGCTGATATCCTTCGGGGATATCTTCCGACTGTTGATAATATCTTCCTGGCAACGACAATAGTGCCCCGCAAGCAGGGATTGCTTTGTGATTTGCATCGAACTTGGCTCGATGCGCAGTTCGGCTAAATGAATTGAGTAAAAACATGTCGTCGTCAGATGACGATGACAAGGATTCTGAGGAGGAACTGTCAGAATCTGAATCTGGCTGGTCATCAAAATTTACAGGTGGGCATGGTGAATCAGGAATCAAAAAGGACCACGAAAGGGGCTCCAGTCTCATGCCGAAATGCTCAGAAGGAATCGGAGGACCAGCACCTCGCAACAATGGAGTGGAAGGCTTCCACCCAGTTTGCAATCTTGCCATTATTGCAATTTGCAAATGCACTTGCAACCACGTATCATCACGTGAATATCGAAAAGTGGAACCTTGTGGTTTATGGTGGCCTTGCTGCGCAATCCAAGACGGATCCAACGCCAACTGATTTGCAATGGCAACCAAACCGCTTTTCAAACCGTGGACTGTGATGGCTTGGGTTGGCGTTGCCATTTGTGCTTGGGACACAAAGTACCGCAACAAATTTGTTGCTCGAACTAAATGCATTGGCCTGGCAAACATGAAGAAAGCGGGCCCTCTGATGTCTGGCACGAGAAATGTTGGGTCATAAACCTGACCCGTGTCAGAAGACCACGTCTCCCAAAATGCTCTCAACTTAGTCAGAAACTTGCTGGCCCAGTTGACTGTGTGTGAACCCCGCAAACCACAGGTTATGGCTGCGAACGGGAAACCTTGCTTGCTATTCTTGCTTTTCCAAGCTTTGCCACGTAGCATGCCATGTTCTTCGTGCAGCGAACACAATTTGCATCGTTGGATATCACTGAATCGCAAACCTGCATAAAACATTAAGAGAAATGCCCCAGCTAAAATACACAAAGCAGCTGGGGTCTGAGGATCATGCACGACAGTTTCCAAGACGCTGGGAAGGAAAACGGGCGCCGGAGTAATGGACTCCGAAATGCCAATTTTTGCGGAGGAGAACAAATAACTCCGAATCAGTTCAGATTTCAACGTTTCCAATAGTTTTGGAAATCCAAAAAATTTGGCGGCCCAGGAGACGCCACGCAAGAAATTTACATACGGTGCTTTGACTGCTTTGGTGCGGTTATACAATTCTCTCAAGCAATCTGCAAACTGAGGGACTGGCACATCCGGTGGTGACCACCGGCAAGCAGCACAAAATTCCACGAAACGCTTCCAAGTCTTCAAATATCTATGTATGGTCTGGTCGGAATACACATGTAACATGTTATGCAAGTGCTCATCCGGATACGCAGAACTTTTCAACTGTTTTGCCAATTGGCTGGCATCTTGGTAGCGTGTCAAATACTCTCTGATCAATCTGACATGGTACAATCGCAAATCAGTTGATGGCGTAAATTCTGGCATCACAGTGGCAAACGGTGACCGACCCTTGGCTGGAAGCAACTTAGGCTCATGCTGAGGTTGCTCGCACCGAGACATCGGCCCTGCTCGGCATTCCAAACTGAGTGGCCTTTTTTTGGGCGATGGAAAAGAAAGACCTGCTGGTTTAGCATCTGCAAGCAAAGGAGGAACAACAATCTTATGCTTCAAACTCAAAGCGGGTGCTTTGGGCTTTGGAAAAGGCAATGGTCCTCCAGCAGCTGCGTTTGTCTGCAATTTCCGTGAAGGTGCTTTGGAAAAACTAGTACAGGTCTGCAAGCCCAGGTTGCACTCAAAATTATGCGGGGCTGCTTTTGACATGCTGACGCCCGATCCAGAGTTTCTGCGAGCAGCCTCAAAAGGCCGAAACAATCATGATCAATTTTCCGTTGGTATTTTGATTGTCATCCTCTGACCAATGAAACAGCTAAACTTGATTTATGCGTCATTGGAAGTCAAATTGTGTTGACTAAGATCGGCCACCGAGTCCATTGCTCACGCTACGGCGAGCAAAGCAGTGAAATCAAAACTATGGAATTGAATGACAGCTGCCTGTCTTCTGTGGATTTTGTCTTTTTTGTCGTCTAGTTTTTTTTAGATGGTTGCCATGGAAAACCATGGAAAATTAAATGAAAGCCTTGTTTCAAATGCACAACAAAAAATTAAAATGCTGCGACCGGCCGCGGTCTCCAAAATGTGATTTGTTTCGCTCAGAGCCACAATTCATCCGTGATGTTCTGCATCCAAAACTCTCCCTGTCGCCTAACCTGACCAAACCTGACAGGTCCAAAAACCAGTTGCAAAGTCGAATTCAGTTCCTGTGCTCGAGTACCAGTCAGTACTCAGTTCAAACAGTCGTGCAGATTTGATTTCTCGAAATTCAGTAAAGTAAAATTCAGTGAGCTCTTGGCCAAATTTAGTGCAAAAACGAAGTGAGAGTGCTGAGTTGCAGCTACAGTTCAGCGGCAGTTCAGCGACAGTCTCCCCTTTGAAAACTTAGTCTACCAAAGTGAGTTTCCGCAGTGTCTTGGTGAAACAGTGCCTGTATAGTTCGAGGTTACAAGTCAAAACAACGAAAAACAGTTTCAACACATAACTTACCTAAGTGTGATTTCAAAGTTTCAGTGTCCAGGTATTTAGTAAAGGGGTCGGCGCAGTTTTCAGTAGTATGAATCTTACGTATTTGGAGGTCTCCCCGCGCAACCAAGTCTTGCATGTACAAAAATCTCAGTTCAACGTGCTTGATTTTCTTTCCAGAACCAAACCTAGTTGCCATGCTCTTTCCTGCTGCGCTGTCAGTGTAAATGTGGAGTTTGACTTTCTTTGCCAGTTCCGCATCGAGAATCAAGTTTCTTACGTACAGTGTTTCGGAAATTCCTTGTCCTATCGCGTACAGTTCGGCTTCACCTGAGGAGAGCGCGATATACCCTGAGTTCTTGCGCAAAAGTCTACAGGACAATTGAGGAGTTTGACTACAACGCCTGGAGTTGATTTTCGAGTTCACTGACAACCAGCCCAGTCACTGTCCACAAAACAGTCCAAATCAACAGTGCATTTGTTGCTACTAAGAGTCATCCCCGCACGAAGTCGATGCACATAGTCCTTAGTTCCAGCAAGGTACCTCAGTAAGTGTTTCAGTTTCAGTAAACTTCGGTTTGTCGGTGCAGTCAGGTCTCTTGAAAGTTCCTTAGTCACATAGGACATGTCTGGTCTGATCAAAGCTAACCACAACAGTTTTCCAACAGCAGTGCGATAAACTTTGTGTTCGTCAGCACTTAGTGGTTCATCCAAGTCCAGTCGGTGTGAAAAACTAGTGGTACCCGTGGTTCCTACAGCTTTAGCCTTGACCATGTTGTACAAGTCCAGTATCTTAGTGATGTAGTCTTGCGGCATGCAAATGTCTCACTGTCGCCATTATGTCGCAAAACGCGTCCAAGGAAATTTACTGACTTACCAGGCTTCAGTTCAGCTTCAATTTTGAGTAACACTTCCTTTTCCAAGTCTTTGGTGAATTGCACGGCAAGTTCGTGCTTTCCACAAACCAAAAGGTCATCTACGTAGCAAAGGACATACAAGTCGCCAGATAAATGACAGTACAAATTTGGATCAGCTTTGCAGCGTCTCATTCCGAGTTTCAGCATCGTTGAACAAAAGTGTTGTTGCCATAGTGCTGGCGCTTCCTTTAAGCCATACATTGCTCGTTTCAGTCTCCAGTGGCAGTTCTGCCCAGGATAGTACTCTTTTGGTGGAATCAGCATTACACGGTCCATCATGAGTGCATGAAGAAATGCAGTGCTTATGTCACAAGTAAAACATGACCATGTTATTCTAGACAACATCATGACAAGCAGTACTCTGAGTGTCACAAGTGCAGGTGTATTTGCAAACAGAGTGTCTTGATCCATGTTTTCTTGAAAGCATCCGCGTGCAGTGAGTCTGCATCTGATAATGTTTGCAGTCTTCCAGCGTTTCACCCATTTGCAGTCAAGTGCTGAGTCAATGTCTTCTTGCGAACACTGATTGGAACTTCTTCATACACATCAAATTCCTTCATGCTTTTCATTTCCTTTTGCATTCCTTCAATGACAAGTTCATCAGGAAATTCTGGTTCAGTCCTCAACAGTTGAGGTTCATTCAGTTTGATTTCCGTCTGTTTCTCTTCAGTGTCTTCGTTTACTGCGACGGGAACTTCAGTTCCGTCTTTCAAAGTGACAGAGAAGACCCCGATTGCAGCAATAGTGAGCCGTTTGTCATCTGGAAGGAAACCTTCAGGAAGTTCTTGATTTTCAGCAGTTCGTTTTTCGTTTCTAACCCTCGTTTCTGGTGGAAGTCTCGTTTCAGT